AAATCTTTGGCAAAATCAAGTCGAATAAAGAAATTTGAAATTTTCCTTCTATTGGCTGGTTTAGTACGTGGATCGACCGATCCATAACCGGATCGATCGATCCGTTCATCAAATCTCCAATCCGAAATAGCTTGGTCGATTCGCCMGTCCTCCGGAACTTTGAATAAAATCCGATCGATCGATCCACATGTAGATTGATCGATCTGGCTTGTTTCCATGCTCCTTTACTCTTTTTCTTTGATTCCTTACTCCATTTTGCCTTACTCTTGTTCCAAACGTATTTCAACCTGCAAAGACTCTAAAAACAAAGAAAATATTCGATAAAACTATGAAAACACAAGTTAGAATGCGTTAAAAACGTAATACATCAGTATCTACAAAATCAACTAATATTTCTTGAGCATAAACCAAACTTATAAATTATCGTTCTCTAAACTTGATTTTTCCGACATATTGAATTTACGCTGACGATTTAGGTCATTATAAATAATAAACTCTTATGATTAGAACATTGGGAAATGCAGTTATATCGATCGATTTTTTTTTATTAAAGAACATACACACTAAATCTAATATTTTAGAGGATATTTTCACAATTTTGTTTTGGTGTTAAATCATTTCCAATGTGTTTATTTGAACTATTTAATTACATCATATATATAGCTATTGTTTAAGACAATTTTTCGTATTTTGAGTTATGATATTTTCTATTTCCAATAAAACAAATTTAAAAAAGTAAATAATTAAAATTACTCAAAATTGCGGTTCTTGCAAGTTTAAAACCAAATTTCCGATTATTTTTCCAAAACCAATAAAATACCAAAGTTTCTAGTGAAAAACCGAAATTTCGAATATAAGGAATTTACAGAATTTTACAAAAATAGATAAACAAAATGCTTAGAAATCAAATATTTTTTGCAAGACCGAATTGAATTTTTAGTTCTGGTTAATTGGGCATCAATAATTTTAGCATGAACCCATGTAGGAAGTTCCGAACGGAAGTTCAAATTTGGCTAATTTCGGCAAGATGTTTCTCAAACCGACGAATACACCAAACTTCCGAAACCGGACCGAAATTTCCAATTGCCCAGGCCTAGACTTTGGACGGATATCCAACACTCGCGAGTTCGAACCTACCGAGTTGATCATCTTCTTCTATTTTTTATCTTTGAAATTTTCACATAGCTCAAAATTACGGCAACTCCAAATTTCAGTAGCCGGACGAAAAACAACTCTTCGTCGATCGTCGACATGATTCGGAGGAGTTGCTCTTCGATTTGAAAGTCGAATCGAAACCTTTTATAGAGATTCTAAAACGCAAAGATCAAAACCCAGCAACAGATTGAGAGAGAAATTGAAGGACAGAGAAGAAGATGGAAGAGAAAGGTGAGTGAGTCAAGTATAGAATCTACTTTTTTGCTTGGAATTCTATGTGGGTCTTATTTGCTTACCAAGTGTTCGATTTTGGGTTGTAGCCTTTGTTTTTTTGTGGAACCAAGTTATTATTTTTACGTTTCCAAGATTCCATCTTCTTATCAAGTAACAAAACATAATGCATATACTCTCTTTTACAATAATGTGTTTGAGACCTGTAGCATGGTTGGTCGAGATTGAGGATCAATGTGAAGACAACTAACTGCAATCTCTATGATTCGTGACATTTGATCTTTGATGTGTACAGATGGAGATGGCAAGCGGCTGTCCTGAATATCGATGAGCTGAATCTTTTCATTGCTCAACAAGTGGCTTGGATGAGTTCCCCTTATTACCTCCAGTGTTAAAACTCCGAAACTGTACACATCGCATTTCTCTGTCACGTTAACCGAGTAAGCTAGTTCTGCAAGTACGTATTTGTGAACGCAAAGAGTTATTCAATGTTAAAATAAAGGGTATAGTTTGAGAGGGATTAATCTTGATTTCACCTGGAGCCATATAGCCATATGTGCCACCCAACACGGACCAATTGGAAGCGTCCTTCTTAAGCAGCTTTGCGCTACCAAAATCTGAAACCTTTGGCTCGTAGTCCTTGTCTAGCAGAATGTTTCCGCTGCTGATGTCGCAGTGTACAATGGGCGGTGAGTGGTCGTGGTGAATGTAAGATATCGCGTGAGCCACACCTTTCACAATGTTAATCCTCTTTTCCCAGTCAAGCCTCTTGGCTACTTCATCTTCGGCCAGCGCTTTTCTTAAACTACCTTTCTCTATATATTGGTACACCAGGAAGGAGTGGAGGCTATGAGAGCAATATCCTAATAATTTCACCATGTTCCGATGCCGAATTTTGGCCAATGTATTTATCTCGTTCAAGAAACCATGTTGTACCATAAACGTGGCTCTCTCGTCATCCATTGTCTCGTGGAGCTTTTTGACAGCTAGGACCATGCTTTGCACTTTGGCTTTGTAAACGGTTCCCGATCCTCCAGCTCCAGTTAAATATTTTGCATCAAAATTCTCTGTGGCATTGATGATTTCATCGTAGGAAAGTTTTGCAGGAAACTTTGATATAAACATTCTTGGCCCAGTTTCAGAATCCGTGGGCTCTCTGAATAGTCGTTTTCTTCTTTGCAGATAGGTTGCAACTCGGATGCAAATGAGGATCACTCCAACGATCGGGATCAACACACTCAAGACCACAACTTTGGATGATCTCTTGTTCCCAAAGTAAGAGCTTGAACATGGCTTGAGTCCTTGTTTTATGTTATTACCACACAACCTTTTGTTACCTTCCAATGTTTCTTCAGGAGCATTCTGAAACACCAAGCTATGTGGAACAGGGCCCTCGAGGTTATTGTGCGATATGTTTACATTCCTCAACGCATGCATTTCTTTAAAGCTTGTTGGAATGAGACCCGCGAGATTGTTATAGGAAAGGTCTAGTATCTCTAGGCTTTGCAGAAAGCTAATTTGCGACGGTATTATCCCATCAAGTTGGTTTTCACTAAGATCAAGCACTGATAACTGACCAAGCTTGGTTAATTCGATGGGAATAGCTTCATAGAGGGTGTTCCTGCTCATGTTCATGTGGTGTAAGCTTGATAAAAATGCCAGGCTTATTGGGATCTCGGAGCTGAATCGGTTAGAGGACAAATCAAGATAGTCAAGATCAGTCAAAGATCCAAGTCCTGAAGGGAGTCTTCCGGAGAGCTGATTTCCATTGAGCTGTAGTTTTACTAGACGTTTGAGATTTCTGATATCTTCTGGAAGTTCACCGGTGATGTTGTTGGAAGATAGATCGAGCTGGTTTAGCTGTGTCATGTTCCAAATCTCTTGAGGTATAGTACCTGTGATCTGGTTGTCTGAGAAGATCAAGGCACCTAGCTTTCGACTTTCTCCCCAATTCCCTGAAATCTCACCATGAAATTTATTGTGGCTGAGATCAATGTAGTTTAGATGAGGGTAAACTCCAAAGACATTAGAGATATCTCCGGTGAATCCATTGCCTTCAAACCTTACTCTGAACAAACTCTTGCATTCTCTTAAGCTCTTGGGGATAGGACCGTGAAGCCGATTACCACGCAGTGTCAAATTCTGAAGCTTACCACCTCCGCAGATACCTTCAGGCAAGAAACCGGTGAAGTTGTTCGTGTCAAGTTGCATGACTTGTAGCTTTAAAGGGTTTGCGATGCTTGGTGGAATTTGACCGGAGAGGTTATTACGACGGAGGTAGAGGAACTCGAGGTTGGTTAAATTTCCAAAGGAATCAGGAATAGGACCTGTGAGTTTGTTTTGGTTAAGCCTTAAATCAACCATGGAAACCAAGTCACCTAGCTCTGGAGGAATGAAACCTGTAAGACTGTTCTGTTGTAGATTTAGAAACCTCAAGTCCTTGAGATTTCCTATGGTTGAAGGGATTGGACCTGTGATGTTGTTTCTGGACATGTCAAGGTAGTTTAGTTTAGAGAGTTGTTCGAATTGAGGTGGGAAGGGTCCAGAGAGATTGTTGATGCTGAGATCTAGGAAAGTGAGATTAGAGAGAGAAGGAAAGCGAAAATTTCGAAGATCGGTTTCGATTCTAATGTCTGTGAGGTTTAACCTTACTATACTCCCTTGTGAGTTGCACGAAACACCGAACCAACTTGTGCATAGAGAGTTGGTGTTAGTGTTGGTCCATGAGGACAATGGAGAAGTGAGTGTCTGGTTCTTAAAAGAAGACTTCCATATGAGAAGTGCCTTTGCTTCTTCTGATGCTGAAACAGATGTTGCCATAACTAGTGTAAGGAATTTGATCAAACCAAAATGATCAGAAGCCATCTCTGTTTCTCTTGTGAACAACTTGCTTATTCTTTGTGTTATCAAGACTTGACATTAAATATCATTTATATTGACTTGAGCAGAGAAGAAAACAACTTCTGTACTATTGGAGAGACGAAATAAAGTTTTGTGGAAATGATTCACTTTCAATCACTGTTGCGTATTGGTTACGATTTATATGATGAGAAGTGTAGCAAATGAAAAGGCGATCCTGAAATAAGGTCTTGAAGCTTCTTCTTTCATACCATAGAAAAAAAAAATCAGATTAGTCAAAATTTGAAGTATTAATGGCCAAGTTTGTTAGACTTTTCAAATACAAACTTCTTAGAATTTTTGCCTTTAGATCTCCTTTGGAAAAATGGTTCTAAGCAACAAGAAGGATGAAGTAATGTATCGATAACCATCCCAAATATAGAAACGTGGTTTAAACTACACCAATTAATATGTGCAACATACCGACATACACGAAGTATATGCCGTCATGTTGCGAACTACAAATTGGGTTTTATAGAGTTTAAAACAAAAAAATTGGGGTCGAATTGTAATTATTTTCTTAAAAACAATACTTCAAAAACAAAAATCAAAAAACTAAAAATGTTCAAAAAGTAATTTAAGAAAAACAATAATAATTATATTTTATATCAAAATAAATTAAAAATGTTTTACATTTTTTAGAAAAAAAAAAAAATTTGTAAAATCCCAAATTTTTTTAAATTACGAAAATTCAAAACTTCAAAAAACTCCTACATTCTAAAAATTAATTGAAAATGTTAGGTATATAAGGTTCAAAAATTATATAATTTGAAACCAATTTCATTTGTTAGAAAAGGTAAAAAAAATGTTTCCTATTATATGTTTTGTGAAGGCGTTAGTGAACATACAAATCGTAGTATTCCGTTCAGATTGAAATCATATTTTTTTTTTTTAAACGTTTACTATAGCGACATTCAGATTGAAATTTGCTTTTTTTTTAAAACCATTTTCAAAAAATCAATTTTTTATATTATAAACGTTTTTGCGAATGTTCTCTAACGTCTTCACGAAATGCTTTTTTAAAATAAAGTTTTTTAAAACCTTTGTTCTAAACTATATTTGTGGACCGAC